TGTTGGTCATCGTCTGATCGGCTCACACCTGTTGGTCATCGTCTGATTGGCTCACACCTGTTGGTCATCGTCTGATTGGTTCTCATCTGTTGGTCATCGTCTGATCGGCTCACACCTGTTGGTCATCGTCTGATCAGCTCACACCTGTTGGTCATCGTCTGATAGGCTCACACCTGTTGGTCATCGTCTGATTGGCTCACTCCCTCTCCTCGCAGTAAATTGCTCCTATCTGTGGTTTTAATTCAGAGTTTTATTTTGTTTCTTCTAAAACTATTCTGGAAATAAATTAGATAATTTTCACTGAATGTTTGAAATTAAACTTCATCACGTTTTCTTTGTTTTATCGCCATCTGTTCCTTGTGTCCTGTCTCCTGCAGCGCCGCGTCCTGACCACCAGAGGGGGGCGGTGAGCCACAGTCTGGGTTCTTCATCCTTTAGTTTAATGTGTTTATTTTTCTTTTCTGAGATTTAATGAGACATGTTGAAGGTTTCAATCACTGCTGTGTAACTGAAGCGTGACCTTTGACCCCGTCATGATTCACGTTCAAGTTGTTTCTGGGGAAGTTCTGGACTCGACTGTTGATTATCATAAATTCCAGATTATGTTTTGGTTTTTAAAAAATAACGACAAAACCATGAATCAGTTAAAAAACAATTTTCAGCTGATTTGGAGGAACTAAGCAGCTGAAAGCTGAAGATGTTTCGGCTTTGAATTCAGGTTAAAGATGATTTTAGCTGCTGGTGGATGCACGTGTACAACTGACCTCATTTAGTCTCCTGGGTTTCATTTTACCTCCTCTGTCTTCCTTTCATCAGGTGGGATGAAGAAGCACCTGTCCAAATGTTTCCATCTCCACAGGCTGCCGCTGTGCACGGAGTGTGCACGTGTGCAGGCAGAGGTTACTGAGGGTTTATTGGCTAACGAAGCCTGACAGGTGCTTCTCTGTCTGAGATTAAGAGCCTGTGGGTCAATGACGGCGCAGACCATTAAAGGGACATTAGAGACGAGAAGATGTGGACCCAGAGCTCCAACACGAGGTCTTCAGGGTCCAGGTGGACGTTTCACTGAGTTCATCTCTGAGGAGCAGCAGAAATCATCCGACTGTAGAGAATTCTTTTACAGTTTGTTTTAGAGTTTAAACTCTCTCAAAGCATCTGTGGAGTTTAAACCAGTAAAAACACCGTCACCCAAAAAGATCAAAGGTTTTTTTATTTATTAGGTTCATTTAAAAACTAGAAAATTAGAATTAGAACATTTCTGTAGAAATGTTGAGGAAAGTTAAGCTCCCGCCTGAAATTCTCAAATCCACCGTCTTTCTTTTAGTCCAATAATATTTTTGGACTTTGTTTTGTAATAATTTAACCTATGACGGAGCCAGACTCTTATTTTGAAAAGACATTTGAGGGACAAATAAAAAGAAAGGACTTCATGAAATCTTTCAACATTAAAATATTTAAACGTTCTTAAAGGTTTATGAATTGCTTACTAAACTGTTTAAGTAATAACTAAATTACTAAAGTACTTTAATGTTTGTGGATTTTTATGTGTTTTACTGGGCAGTGATGTCTTTTGTTGTTTGTTAGCAAAATATTTCATGACCCATTGGACATAAACTCTAACAATAATTATTGGAAGTCGACCCAGTTCTCAGGAACCCAAACGATGACTCAGTTTCACAGCTACTGAGCTAATTTTAGGGGTGGTAGTAGCTGAGAGTCGTCCTCAACACACACTTTGAGCAACAGATCAAAGCAGCAGCTCCATCGTTTCATCTTCCAAGTTTTTAAAGATCAGTAAAAGTTTGTTTTTTTCCAAACGAAGAACCAAAAGCAGAAAAATAAAACGAGTAGAAAAACATCAAACGTCATTCAGACGTGATTCAGTTATGAAGCATCACTTGTGTCTCGGGTGACGGCGAGTTCCGGAGCAGGTTTATCACCTGAAGACTCGCCGTGTGCAGCAGTCGTGAATGAAGTCGTCTCCTGCGGTGATTTAGCGACGGATCAGAGTTTATTGTGAACAAACAGCTTCGTCTGGTTTGATGATGGAAACATCATCAATCATCAAGATCAGCCTGATGGACTCTTTGTGTCTTTGTTCCTCAGAGGCTGATCGTGATGATGGAAGGTTCCCCCCATGGGTGTGTGTGTGTGTGTGTGTGTGTGTACCTGGTTTGTTACCTTTTTAGGACCTTGTCTGGGAGAATCATCCACTTTAGGAGGACTAGTCCTTATGGGGACCAAAGCCCGGTCCTCAAATGGTGAGTCTGAAGTGAAGGTTCGACATGTGCTTGTGACAGATAGATGATGTGTTGGTTGGATGCATGATCTGGTGGTTGGTGGATGAATGGATGGATGAATAGATGGATGGATGGATGATCAATTGGATGGATGACCGATTGGATGGATCGTTGCTTGGTTGGATGATCAGCTGGATAATTGGTTGGATGTTCAGGTGTGAGGTGAGGGTTCAGGCTGCAGAAGTGACAGGAAGTCGAGACGACGTCCTGATGGACAAACGTGTGAGACCTGAAGAAGCACCGGACCTCCTGACTCTGGACGCCTGCGGTGCTGCAGGAAACAGATGATGGTGATGATGATGGTGATGATGATGGTGATGATGATGATGTACTGTTGCCCCCACGCTGACCATCCTCTTTGCTGCCCCCTGCAGGAGGTGTGTCCCTAACATTCCAACAAAGAGGAGAGCATTACAAGCTCCTGATTCTCCTCCAACTCTGGGAGTACCGGCTCCCACAGCACCATGGTTCCTCTGGTGTTCTCCGGTACTTCTGTTCTCCGGTACTTCTGTTGTTCTCTGGTACTTCTGTTGTTCTCTGGCACTTCTGTTGTTTTCCGGTACTTCTGTTGTTCTCTGGCACTTCTGTTGTTCTCTGGTACTTCTGGTGTTTTCCGGTACTTCTGTT